TTCTTAAGGGCCACTCAGATTTCTGTGCACAGCAGTGCATCTGTAACTTGGAAATCACTCTCATAATGTGAAGCACAACTATTATTATCTAGGACACTGAAATAAATCTATTTTAAAGAGACTTTATTTTCAGCGTTGTAGACAGCAAACAGACCACTCACCTGTGACAAGTCCTAGGCTATTTACCATCACGGGAAGCAAACAATCCCTTGTGGTGGGAGGCATTGTCTTTACGATCAGGCATCAGAAAGACGAAGTAAGGATTCCTTTCTCCCAGTTTTCTAGAAACGTGACAAAGTATGAGCGTGTGAAGAATGTGTGTCCACTTGCAGCTGTGTGAGAGAGACCCTTTTGTCTCGATGCTTTTCGTGTGGAATTTCCTTTATCATCCTAGACAGGTTTTTTCCTGTGAGTCACATCCCAGCCCACTATGAAGGGAGGGTGTAGGATTCTGAAATTGCGTGGATAGGTCACCAATATTCCCGTCTTTAACACATGGACAATGAGATAGCTCATAGCCTGCATGCCTGGACTTCGTGAAAGATCTGGACTCATAGATTTGAGAGTGAATTGAAAAGGAAAACGGGGGTATTTAGCCCTGGGGAAGGAGGGAAGATTTGGAAACAGTGATCTGGAGGGGTGTGTGGGGTGTGTCTGTGTAGACTTTTTTGATATCTGCAAGACATAGGCAGGGACAACTGACTAATTTGGAAGAAGGGTTAGAAGTCCTCCAGCATCTCAAACACTCAAGGAAGCTGAGGTTCAAAAAGAATCTCAGTATGTGCGGGGACAGTGGAGCAGAGCAACTCTGAGCAGTTTCGTTCTCATCCTTGAACGCATCATCACGATCCCATGATACCACGGGCTCCGTGATCTTGCTGACCATGGTCACTTGGTGAAGGCAATCATCCTGGGACTGACTGATCACAGATAAGCTCAGCGTCGCAGCACAGATTGGAAAGCTTGTGTGCAGAGCTTTATGCCCAGCAGTCCATGAAACTGAGGACACTGTGCACTTCTGGGTGTGCTCCCAATTGGCAGTCCACTCACGCCTTTGTGCCTTGTGCCAACATCTCTATTATCTTGGTCCAATCAGCACGGGCAGAGTCTTGGACAGCCGCAGGTTGCCAACAGGGCAGTGGAGAGGCCCTGGGGGAGAAAATCTTATAAAAGCCTCTCCAGGGAGGCTCCCCAACTGCCACTTCATCATTCGCCTGATACTCGATGCTTTTGTCACCATGTGGGTCCTGGTTTTGGGGCTTGCCTTCTTCCTGGGATGGACAGGTGAGAAAGAGGGAGAGAGTGAAGGAAGGCGAGGGGGTCCCTACTTCACAAGCTGTCCTCATCTATCTCCATAAATTATGTTCTTGCCCACTCAGTATATTACTTTACGGTTTCTAAAGTCCACTGCCTCTCACTCGGACCTCCCTAAAACTTCCCTCCGTCTCTTCTGCACGAAATAGGACAGGCTTCACACCTGGGATTTACAAGTTTGTAACGAGTCTTACTCCACGGCACCTAACAACAACTGCTTTTCTAGTCTACCACTTTGACCACAGCTCTTGGGAAAATAAACAGATTCGTCCTGGAAAGGGTTAAACCGGGTGGCTCCTTGGAGGCAAGGATTCTGAGGCTCTAACATTGGACATGTTGTGAGGAGAGACCGGTCCTTGGAGAAGGACATCATGCTTGGGAGGGTGGAGGGACAGCGCAGGAGGGGAAGGCCCACTATGAGGTGGATTGATTCAGTGACTGGGATAATTGGGATGGGAGTGTCAGAGACAGTGCGATTGGCACAGGACAGAGCAGAGTTTAGGGCTGTTGTACATAGGGTCGCTATGAGTCGCAAGCGACTCGACAGCACATAACAACAACAACAACAACTCTCATCCGTGATCCCCAAAGACCTTCTACTCTTCCCCTACTGACTTTTCCAAAGGAGTATCATTGATTCCTCCTTTTCTTCTGCTGTTCACAGCTTTTAGTTCGTTCTGACTCACCCCAACTCTGTATGTCATATAGTTGAACTGCCCTAAAAAGTTTTCTGTCTCTAATCATAATAGGACGTGCTGGGGACCTCATGGTAAGAAGTTGTACTTTCAGCCCGAAGGCAGGAGGTTCAAACCTATGAACTTCTTACCATGGGATTCATATCCTCTGAGGAGGAGCTGGAGCGTCAGCTGTGGGTCAGATACGATTGGACAGCAAGCAATAATCTTAAAAGAACCGGCTCTCTGGGCCATTTCCCCACCTGTTACAATGGTGGTGGTGGTTTGAACCATATTGTTACTAGTTAAGAATAAACCATTGACATAACCCAGGAATCTTATTTTTGGATATATTTCTTTTCAATGATCTTCAGGGAGTTTGGGTGGTCTAGTAGTAGTAGCTGCCCTGTCAACCCAAAGGCACTGGTTTGAACTCATCATCCACTCTGCAGGAGAAAAATGGGCAATCTCCTCCCAAGTGGCATAGCGCCTCTGAAAACCCACTGGAGGGTCAGCTATGACTTAGTTCTAGTTCATTGGCACCGAACAACAACCACTATTTCTTTCCAGGTATCGTTTCTGTCCCATAGGTCTGGTAGAACCTGCTCAGGCATTCTTCCCCTTAAATCTCTGTGTTATTGAAGTCTGACTCAGATGTTCCTACATGACATCTGAAGATTGCCCGGTTCTTCTTGGCACCACTGACCCATCCCACCACTCGGCCATCTCTACTCCTCTTGTCCAATACCCTCCAAACAACAATGCTTCCTTCAACCCTAGACTTGATTCCTACCCTTCCTCTTCCAGGTTGTGTATCATCCATAAATTCAAGGCTACGAGAAGACGGGAAATGTGCACGTTCTCGCTATACCTGGCACGTGGCTGTGTTTCCGAATTTTGAACCAATGTGTTCAGGTTTCCTGATCCACCCTCAGTGGGTGCTCACTGCTGCCCATTGTAGAAACATGTGCGTAGTGGCTGGAAAATGAAGAAGGGAGGGCTTCTCCGGTCTTCCTGCAGGAATGAACGAGGACCATTTCCTTGGGATAACACGCAGGGAGGAAGGAGACAGGAAAGATTATGGGAGGTGCTGGTCCAGGCTCCCAGGAGAGATACTGACCTGGGGCTGAAGACCCAGAATTGCTCTCTCCGTGGCCATGTGTGTCGGTTCCCTGACTCTCTCCTTATTGCTCTTTCTGTCTGTACATAACTCGCTCTGTCTGTCTGTTACCTCCGTGTAAACGTGCTGTGACCCCAAACTCTCTTTTCTCAGTCTCCACAGCTCTGGGGTGTCTTGTTAACTCCACCCATCTCTGGATCTCTTTGTCATTAGCTTGGTCTCTGCTTTACTCTCCCTCTCCTTTTGTGGCTCTGCCCTGTGTGTGCGCCCCAAACCTTGTGTCCATCCCTACTGAACAGACACACCTCACGATGGGGCAGGGTGGACCCCAGAGAGAAGGCTTAAACCAGCTCCAGGAGGTGAGTGGTGGCGAGGGTCTCATGGAATTTTCTCCCTAACTTCTCCCTCCTGGACAACACATTTTTTTTAAAGGAGACACTGGAAAGTGATGGAGTGAGTTGGGAGTGAGTTTGGGTGAGGGACAAGCAAGGGAAACAGGAAGAAAAAGGTGCTGGGGTGCAGGAGGAGACAATCACTCCTGGGCTGAGTGAGATCACTGACTGCTGGGGAACACTCACGCGGCCACATCTCAATGGGGGCTCTGTTTGCCTTCCTCCTCCACCTTGCTCCCAACATCCACCTCCCTGCACCTTTACTCTCTGATGTCTCCCACTCAATTCCTTCCCACTTCAGTGCTATTGTTTATTCTCTCTGCCCCTTTTCTTTTTTTTTTCTCTCTCTGCCCCTTTTCCAACTGGGCCATCATTTGCTCCCCCTTTTTGTGTTGTTCACAGTACCTCCTTTTTTCCATGTCTATTTCTCACATTCTTCCTTCTGCTCTCTGTTGACTCCGTCTACATTTGTTCTTGTTGTTTTAGGATAAAATACGATAGGTTAGAAAATTACATCCCCAAAAGGATGTACCTTACTCCTTGAAATATAGCAGGGAGGTCATTCTCTGTTTCTGCCTTTCTCATTTCCTTTTGTCTGTTCTGCAGAATTTTCCCTCCATTTCCTTGTCTCAGCCTTTATTCCTTATTCATTCCCTTTTACACTATTTCTCTCTCCTCTCTCCTCTCTCCTCTCTCTCCTCTCTCTCTCTCTCTTTCCCCCCCTCTCTCTTCTCTTTCTCTCTCTCAGGTCATGATTCCCTGCTCAAATCCCTGGATCATATCCTCTCCCCTAATAGCCTCCGTTTCTCTCTTCTGCAAGGTCGTCGGCCTTCCAGGTCTGTCTGGGCTGCTATGACATTCATAGATGTTATGAAGGTAGAGTCCACTGGGTGGATGTTGTCGATGTCATACAGCATCCAAAATACTGTCACCCCAGTGACTGTTGGTTCAATAGCTTCAACAATGACATCATGTTGCTTCACCTCAAATACCCTCTGGAGATCTCAAATGGAGTGGAAATCATACCACTGCCAACCACGGGGCCACGAACAGGAAGCTCGTGTATTCTATCATCTTGGGATGCATTCAAGCCACCAAGAGGTACTCTTGGGAGAGTTAAGACCCAGGGAAGCCCAAACTCTTGGGAAGACGGGTTAGGGAACCTGAATAGCCATCCTAGTTCTATTTCTCAATGGTTTGCATTCTCAGAACCAAATCCACTCACCTGCGCAAAATTCAAAATCCTGCCTGACGAGGAATGCAAAAAACCTGAACGTGTAACAGAGACCATGTTCTGTGCTGCAGATGAAGATTACGATCAAGAACACAGCTGCTGGGTGAGTCGGTATCTCACTCTAAGAGTTTATGGGGAGAGGGCAGTAAAATGTGTCCGGTCTTGGGGGTAAGTACTAAACAAGCAGGTCTTCACTACTGCCCACTGTAGCCACTCAATCTCCGTCTCAGACCTCTGCACCATGTTTACCTTCCTCCTCGTACAACGTCTGTATGTCACTTCTCCACATCACAGCTCGTCCTTTCTTCCCAGGACATCGACCTCATGTTCCTCACTAGTCTCTAAGAGGACATGAGTGAACAAAACAAACAAAGTGTCCTGCCTTCTCTGGTGGCAGAGGAAGATAGAAAACAGTATAAATTACAGGGATTCTGTTTGTCCTGAATGTGGATTACTAAGCAAAAAGGGGAGAGCTTAGGGTGCTTTTGTGGGGTGCTTTTGTGCTAAAGAATTGTGCTGCCAACCTGAAGTTGAAGCCACCAAACTGCTCCATATCATAAATGTGAACTTTCTCCTCTAGTACAACTTACCACCTCTTGAAAACCCAATGGAGGGTCTTGACAGTACAACACACATCCACACTTCAGAAGCTGGCAGTTCAAACCCAGCCAGAGGGGTTTCAGAAGATACGTCACAGCTTAGAACACCTTCTAGACTATGACTACGCTGTACTCACGGAGTTGTCACAAGTTGTAACTGACTCAACACTAACAGTTTATTGGGAGGTAAAGTTTGCTTTGGGAAGAGAAAGGAGAGGTGGTGCCGAGGAGTGAGCTGTCTGCTCAGGGAGACCTCACCACCGTGGTGAGATAGAACTAATCTCTGAAGGAGGTGAGGGGTGAACCATGTGAAAATCTGGGGTAAAAACGGAAACCCACCGGCACAAAGGCCTGAGGCAAAGGATCTGATGTGTCTGAGGCCAAATGATGAGACGATGTGATTGGATCTGTGTATGCAGGAGAGGGAAGGCAGGTGAGGATGTGATACAGGGAAGATGTTCCTTCTGCCACATGTGCATGTGCTCTAACTACAATAAGAAGGTACTTGCACAATTCTGGGCAGAATAAAGGCTTTATAAATTGTTGACATGATATTTTCTAAATCAGTGATCAGAGTTTAACTGTTCCTTCACAGCCCAGACCATCCGTGGTGGGATTGTTCTTTGGAAGAGACTCAAATGGGACAGGAGGCAGGACTTTGTGATTCATGGTCAGGAAAGTGGTCTCCCTCAGATACTCAGAAGCACTGAGTCTGTGTTGAGCAGAAACGTGACAGCATCTGATCTGACTTAGATGTTACACGCTCCTCCTGGAGCCTGATTGGGGACGCCCTGCAGAGGTGGGGAGGAGAGGCAGCCAATGGGTGAATGATTTGGAGACCTGGGTAGAGCCGGGCTCAATTTCAGGAGGCATCAGATCCTCCCTGCCTTTGAATGAGTTCTGATTATACGGACCAATTGCAAATGGACAGTGAAAGGCAGAGAAGGGACAACCACAATCCCTACGAATGAGGCAGAGCAAGTCTGTACGTCCACGGAGACATCTATGTCTACTTACGTACACACGTACACACACACACACACAGAGCTCAACCCTTTACAGTCATATCAATCCTTGCATCAAACCTGCTCCTACTCTTTTCCTGGGTCCCTCTAATCCCACAATCACTGGCTCACCTTCTCCACTTCCCTCTGCAAGCCAAGTCAGAGATACCAACACCTTGTGCACCCTGCTTCCTGACTGCCAGTTCCTCTAGGTCCCCAAAAGAGGCTTCATCTAGCCTTCCCAGAATCCTCAGCGAATCCTCACCCAGCTTCGCATCTCTCCAGTTCTCCCCGTGAATCAATCTCTGGGAGGGTCTCTATGTTTCCCGAGGACTGAGCTGTGGTGCACATGGATCCTACCACCTTCCCGCAGGAATTCTGCTCCTGGATCCTGTCTCTGCACAGACACTGGACTCTTCCGTGCCACCACAGTCACTGTACACAACTTTAGTTACTGAGTCTATTGAAATCCCCATCTTTTTAATTTATGTTATTATTTTTGTGTGAGTGTACCGTCAAATCAGATCTGACTGGTACAGGAGGAGATTGTCCCTCCTTTTCCCGGCAGAACATCTGGTGGATTCGAACCGTGCGCCTCTGGGACTCTAGTAGCATCTCCTTGCCACTAGGTCACCAGAGCTCCCTTGAAATCCCCATCTTTTGATTTTTTTTTTTTAAATTGGAACTCATAGACAAATATTTTTCTCCGTAGCTACAGTCATTGTCTGGGAGCTGAGCTTTCAGGCCTGGGAACTGGGGTCAAAGGAGAAGCCCAAGATCCTCACTGACTTTTCACTCTCACCCTTTATTTGCTCCTAGCAAGATAGATCATCTCCGCTGGTCTGTGACGGGATGTTGCAAGGTATTCTGACTTCAGACTACTTCCCATGTGCGGATTGGTCTAATGGTGGCCTGTACACCGACATATTTCTACACGTTGACTGGATCAAGGACACAATGAAGAACACACCTTAAAGTCCAAACCTATCTCCTAATCCCAGTAAAATAAATGACACATCAAGCTGTGGTGTTGGCCATCTTTTCGAGTTATGTACCAGCGTGTTGGAAAGAACCCATGGCTCAATCTCTAGATAGTTTCTTTTTTTTTTTTTCAGAGGCTGGAAATTGCAGGAGACTAGAGTGTCCATTTTTCTCCCTTGAAGCAAGTGATGGATTTGAACCTCATGACTTTGGGTTGGCAGTAAAACTCATACTCCTTACCGTGAGTCCACTAGACCGCTTTACACTTTGCAAGTGTTGAAACAGGAGCCACTTGGCCAAAGCTGGAGCCTGACAGTCCCTCTGACTTGTTGTTTGTTTGTTTTTTCATTGTAAAATTTTCTGTTTTTCATGGCAGGTCAAATATCCAGAAACGTACATATATTGATAGTCTTCTAATCCCAGTTGAGTTCAAATATTAAAGTAACACACACGAGCTAAGAGAATTCAATATTGTTCAAGGCACTTACTGAATCTCCATGACTAGATGAAAACAAAGACGATTAGGGTGGACAATTAGACGAATAGAATATAAAAATAACCTCTTGATCACAATTTACAAAATTGTTATTATTACATTATATTATTATTATTATCATTATTACAATCTTTGATCTCTGATCACCTGCAATGCTGGCTGCGTGAATCCACCCTCTGACTTGTTAACCCATTGTGAAGTGGCTGAACGGGACAGGAACGAATAGAGACATGGAGACATAATCCCGTGGCTGTAAAGAAGGTTTAACTCATAGCAACCTGACCTCTGAGCTCAAACCACAAACCATCTAATTGACAAGTGGCATCGTACACACTAGATCAGGGCAGACCAGTTGGGCTGGAAGTGTTCAGACTTCCAGAAATGCAGAGTTGTAAAGCAAGCGTAGCAGAAAACGTTACCACTTGAGAAGGGATGGGAATTTGCACACTCACATTTGATGTTGTCATGAGGGGACCTGTGCATTTTCACCTAAGGTGCAAACTGGGTGTGTCTGATAGGATAAGTCGTGGAGTCCTGGGAGAAAGAGAACTGTCCAAGGCCTCTCAGGCAAGGCGTGTGCGGTGTGATGGAGCCGGGCCTCCTTAAGTTAGGGTTTTAGCAGCCATGGGGCGGCCTATAACTGCACCCAATGCCTCTTTGTCAGTGGGAAAGTCTGGATCAATCTCAACAAGCCCCCTCTTGCCCTGAGCCATTTCAGCAGCAGGCCTGAAACCACAGCATGTGCTGGTTTTGTTGTTGTTGTTGTTATGTGCCGTCGAGTCGCTTGCAACTCATAGCGACCCTATGTACAACATCCCTCAACTCCACTCTGTCCTGTGCCAATCGCACTGTCTCTGACACTCCCATCCCGATTACCCCAGTCACTGAATCAATCCACCTCATGGAGGGTCTTCCCCTCCTGCGCCGTCCCTCCACCCTCCCAAGCATGATGTCCCTCTCTAAGGACTGGTCTCTCCTCACAACATGTCCAAAGTATGTTAGACGGAGCCTCAGAATCCTTGCCTCCAAGGGGCCACCTGGTCTAACCCTTTCCAGG